CCCATTAACCCCTCCACCCCCCAAACCCCAAACAAAAACCCTCCACACCAGAATCTCCATTAACCCCTCCCCACCAGAATCCTCCTTTTAAAACCCTCCACCACCATTTCATTCTTCCCCCCATCCCCCACCATACCTTACCTTTCCAACATCCAATATCACCCACATCCTAAATTTAAACATACAACCATATCCCATATTCACTTTCCATTAATCAACTACAATATCTCCCCCAACTTTTCCAAAACACATAACCCCATAACTTTCAAACAAACCATCACCCCCATACCATACCTTTTCACATCCATCCCCATACTTTCCCAACACCCATCACCCCCCATACATTTACAAAAACCCATCCCCCTTACCTTTCCCAAAACTCCATACCACATAACGTTACCAACTACCCCATCCCCCCATACATTAAACAAATCTCATCAACCCACATACCTTTACCAACAACCCCCACCCCCCCCTACATTTTTCAAACCCATTCAACATACCTTTCAACAACCCATCTCCCCACATAAATTTCCAACAACATTCCCAATACCTTTCCAACACTCACAATACTCAAAACCATCCCCCCACAACCTTTCCACAACAACCCACATCACCCCCATACCTTCCACCATCAAACATCCCCCAATACCTTTTCCCCATACCTTTCCCCCATACTAAACCCCCCCCATACCTTTCCCCCATACCTTTCAAAACCCATCTCATCCCCAATACCTTCCCAAGAACTCCCACACCCCCACATACCATTCTCCAACATACCCCCATACCTTCCACCCAAGACACACACCCATCACCTTGCCCCAATTACATCTAAATAACCCATCTTCATTACCCCATACCCTTCCCCACAAATACCTCTTCCAAACACAGTACACTTCCATACTTCCCCCCCAATTTCACTCCACACACCCAATAATATACCTTCAAATACCACCCATCACCCCCAAACCTTTCTACAACAAACCCTCCAGAAACCTCTACCATAATTATTCCCTTCTGAAAAACCCCCTCCCTCATTCCCCCCATTACATTTCAAAAAACCATCAAGCCCCATCACCTCTCAATTACTCAAATATAACCCACATACCTCTTTTCATCAAACTAAACCCCCCACCATTCACCCCCCCCCTACCTATTCCATATTAACAATACCCCATCACCACCCCATACCTTTACCCAAAAACCACATTACACCCCCCCACTACCTTATCAAACTCCCATCATCACCCCATAACCTTTCCAAAACCCACCATCCAAAACAACCCCCCTACTACCTTTTCCCAAAACATCACCATAAAAAATACCCAAACACAACACAAAAAAAATCCTAATACCCATAAATAAATCCAACATAAAAATCTCTCTATTAACATACCTAATAAATACTACACCAAATCAAAACCAACACACCACCACCCCAACTACACCCTCAAAAATTCGCCAACAACCATACCTCCACCTCAACAACTCCACCTAACAAAACCTCCAACATGCCAAACTTCCCACGACTCACTACCCCATATCCGATAAATTACCACTCCAACCAACTCGGCACGCTCCACCAAACAAATAACAACCCTTCTATTTTTACTCCACACATCAAAAATCAGCCCACCACACAACCAAAAACTACGACCACCACTATCCCCACCAATGGGTGTTACCCCTCCGAACAACAACACAATCCCCACCATAACCCCCACAACAAAGAAAATAAAAATTAACCCCTCCACGGCACCACAGTGAGGCCCCCCACATTGGCATCCACAGCGTAACTTGGATGAAAACGCGATTAACCCCTCCACCACAGATAATAATAAAAAAAACTTAACCTCCCTACACACAGCAAATACTCACCAATTATTCCCTCAACCCACAATTCCAACAATTAAGCCCTCCACCGCCACAATCCACACCATTCCATTTTAATTCGAAGACTGTTCAGTAGGGTTGAGGTGTGTACTGTGGGGAGAGCGGATATAGTGAATGCGGGGTCCAGGGATGTGGGTATAGTGAAGCGTGGGTCCGGGGGAGTGCGGGCTATAGTGAATGCAGGGTGGTTCCTGGGGGGAGGGAGGGATATAGTGGAATGCGGGGTCCTGGGTTTGAGAAGAGCGGGTATATAGTGATGATGCGGGGTTTCCGGGCAGGTGACCAGATGTAGTGAATGTGGGGTCCGGGGAGAGGGATATAGTGAAATGCGGGGTCCTGGGAGAGCGGGATATAGTGAATGCGGGTTCTGGGTGAGATAGCGGAGATATAGTGAATTGCGGGGTCCGGGGGAGAGCGGATATAGTGATAGTGGGTAGGCCGGGGTCTGAGCGGATATAGTGAATGCGGGGACCGTTGGAGAGTGGGTAGCGGGTGATATAGTGAATTTAGCTTGGGGTTCTGGGGAGAGCGGATATTAGTGAATGCGGGGTCGGGGGAGAGCGGATTTAGTGAATGCGGGGGTCCAAGGAGAGCGGATATAGTGAATGCGGGGATCCGGGTATTTGCATGGATATAGTGAATGCGGGGTTTTGCCGGGTGAGAAGCGGATGATATAGTGAATGCGGGGTCCGGGGGAGAGCGGATATAGTGAATGCAGGTGTCCGGGGAGAGCGGATATAGTGAATGCGGGAGTCGGGGAGAGTGAGAGCGGATATAGTGAATGCGGGGTCGGGGGAGAGGGGGTGATATAGTGATGTGCGGGGTCGGGGGGGAGAGGGGATATAGTGAATGCGGGGTCGGGAGGCGGATATAGTTGTGATGCGGGTCCGGGGAGAGCGGATATTAGTGAATGGAGGGGTCTCGGGGAGAGCGGATATAGTGAATGTGCGGGGAGTGGCTGGGAGAGCCGACATATAGTGAATGAGGGGTCCGGGAGGGTCGGATATATAGTGAATGCGGGTGAGGGGAGAGCGGATTTATAGTGATATGCGGGGTCCGGGGAGAGCGGATATAGTGAATGCGGGGTTCCGGGGAGAGAGCGGATATAGTGAATGCGGGGTCCGGGATTGGATGAGCGGATGATATAGTGAATGCGGGGTCCGGGGAGAGAGGATATAGTGAATGCGTGGTGTCCGGGGGAGAGCGGGGATATAGTGATATGACTGAGGGCGGGGATTGGAGTGGGATAAGGGATTGACGGTGAGTCCGGGTGAGGAGGGGTATAGATGATATGCGGGAGGTCCGATGGTTCCTGTTGTCCTATCGTGGTGGATAGTGAAATTATTTTGTCCACGTGGTGTGAAGAAGAGGTTAAATTGGTGGGAATGTTTCATGCGCTGGATAATGGAAGTGCGGCGCGTTATCAGGACAGGTCGTGTTGTGTCTGCGCTACGCCGCTCCCCTCGCTGTTACATCCTCACGCCATGATTATATACTTTGTGTGTCATTTTATGTGTCAGTTTTACAGCTCTGCACTATCCACATATCTCCCATACTGGCATTGCTTGCAAGGCATAGTTTAAAGGGACATCCTCCTGGCATTTATACGCTACACGACCAAATGTCAGTGAACCCGCTGTCACTTATGAACCTCAATGGAATCCATTCCAAAAAACATTAATAAAAACCATATTAAGGGGTTTTCCCTTTGTGGCTATAACAATATTCACTCCTCTGACATTTCAAATGTTCCAATTCCACCCAAAGGCCATAGTAGGGTGAGGTCGTGGCTCGGTGGACAGGGCATGGAGCTCCTCCCAACAGGACGGGTCCATCCTTGTCTTCATGGAGTGGCTTTGTACCCGGGGGTCGTCGTGGCGGGGAAAGAAAAAAGGGTCTTCACCAGGAATGGTATCCTTGTCTTCATGGAGTGGCTTTGTTCCCGGGGGTCTGTAGTGGGGGAACAGAAAGGGTCTTTCACCAAATGATCATCCATGTCTTTATGGAAGCTGGCTTTGCACCCGGGGGGGACAGTATGGGGGACAGAAAAAGGGTCTTCACTAAAATGTTACAAAGGACTGGAGGTGCATTACACAATATGTTGGAGGGTGTCTGTGGGAATTTGTCCATTTGTGAGGTCAGGCAGTAGATGTTGGATGAGAAGACCTGGTTCACCATTGGTATTCCATTTTCATTTGTAGGCGTCAGTAGGGTTGAGGTCGGGGCTCTGTACAGGACACGAGGTTCCTCCACACCATGCTGGTCATCCATGTCTTTATGGAGCTGGCTTTGTACCCGGGGGACAGTCATGGGGGGACAGAAAAGGGTCTTCACAATTTGTTTACCACAAGGTTGGAAGAGCATTCCACAATATGTTTGGAGGGGGTCTGTGGGCCTTGGTTGGTACAAGGAGACGCCGTTGTCTAACAACAGATGCTTTGTAAAAGCAGAACTTGAGCCAGCCTTGGGAAGGGGGGTAATTACATAATCTCAATCCCCCCCCCCCCCCCTGCTAGTCAGCCTCTGGGGACATGCCACAAATCCCAGGACAGGTCGCAGTAGTAGTTTAGTAAGGAGTCACTGTAGAGTACCGGTCTACACAGCACGTGTGATATTGTACTTGTGCAGTGGGGGAGGCCAACCCTCTGACATTGATAACCTCACAGCCGATCCCACATCAATGATGGCGGGCACGGGGATCTGGAACATGGCGAAGACTTGCCGAGGGTGTCCGGTTAGTTGTGAAGGTCTGCAGGTACAGTATTCATAGACGATGACCTTTTAGACATTTTTAAGGAAAATGAAGGGTTAGAAACCCTTTTGCGTTTTTTTCGTTTTAGTTCCAAAAAAAAAAATTTGTTAAATTACCCGGGGGAGATTTGGATGTTTCAATTACAATAGAAAGGGAATTTAAAAAAATTCCGAAATAACTAAATAAATTTTTCCCTAAAAATATGAATCAAATTAAAACAAATTTGGGAAAAACAAATTCAAAATATAAACTTATTGCTGCTATTCTGTTTTTCCTTTTCAAAGACTCTTTTTGTCAAAAGGGGAAACCCGTTTTCCAAAAAAATTTCCCCCTATTGAAAAAAATTTTTTGAGTAAAAATTAAAACAAAATTTAGAAACTAAAGGAAGGAATAGAAATTTAAAAAAAATTTAAAAATAGAATGGGAAAAAAAATAGAATGAATAAAACCATCTTCCGAAATTCGAATTTTGAAAAGAATCGGAATAAAAAACAGGAATAGAATAGGAATGAAGAAAGATTAAAGGATTAGAGAAATAGAAATAAATAAAGATGGAAATAGAATAATAATAGAAAATAGAAAATGAAAACAACCTCTTACGAATTCCGAATTCGAAATTGGAATTAGATTAATACCAGATAGAATAGAATTAGAAAATAAAGAATATAATTGTTCTCTGAAATTCGATTTTCGAATAAAATAGTGCCAGCTCTTCTGCGCAATGAATTTGGATCGATTGAACAATCAGGAGCGTTGTGGTTTTGGGATTTGTGAAAGATGCGGAAGTTCCTAGGTAGCGGGGGGCGCGGGCTCTCGCAGCGTCCGGGTTATTAAATTTTTACTCTCCCGTCCCTGAGGGCCTATCACAATATTCCATTCTATTATTGTGGTCTATTTATAGGCTCGTTTCCCCGGGGGCAGGATCGCAGGGCGACCGTTTTCCAAACAACAAGCTTTCTGAGGGCCCGCTCAGCCCGCCCGGCGGGGGTTTTGGGCCCGCGCTTTTGGGGGGGCCCAGATATCCCTGGCATGTAGACGGGGAATTTTTGTCACCAAAAACTGGACCCAAAAATAAAAGAGCCCCCCATAAAACCGGGGGAAGTGACCCCGGCCCCCGGAAGGTAAAGCCTGGACATCCTCCTCCCCGGCCCAAATCCCCCGGGTCGGGGGAAAAAGGTCGGGGGGAGGCTGGCAATGGACAAAAAAATTCCTTTCCACGGGGAAAGGGGAATTTTGGTTTTCCTTAAATTTGGTTTCCCAAGATTTTAAAAAAAGGGCACTTTCCCTCCTGTGAAATGTTATTTCCCCGGGTTTTGCCCCCCCCATACCTTTTAACCCATGAATATGAGTAAAAAGAAAAGTGCCGGGAAAAGGCGAAAAGGGCAGTGTCCCCCCTTTCCCCCCACGGGGTTTGGTGAAAACTTTCCCGCGGGAATAAGTAGCGGTGTTGCAGTTTTTGTGGCCCCCACACTGAAGCGCCAAAGGCTGCTGCCCCTTCTGCCCCTACTCACCCCCCCCCCCTCGGCTTATTCCCCCATCAATTGTAGTTTGAACCAGGAAAGAAGGTGAGGAGCTCGGGTGTTGGGTGTCTGTGGGTGAGTCAGGGGGGACAGGGTGAGGAGTGTCAGGGGGAGCTCAGGGGGGAAACAGGTGAGGGTTTGTCAGTGGATGCGATCAAGGGGGGACAGGTGAGGGGTTTTGTCAGTGGGGGAGCTCAGGGGGGTACAGGGTGAGGTGTGCAGTGGGGAGCTCTGAGGGGACAGGTGGAGTAGTGTCAATGGAGGAGTCTGGGTGGGGGGACGGGACAGCTGAGGAGTGTCAGTGGGGGGGCAGGTTTGGTAGTGTCTGGGGAGAGTCGGGGTGGGGGGACAGATGATGGGGGTGTCAGTGGGGTGCTCAGGGGGGACAGGTGAGGAGGTCGAGTTGGGGGAGTGGGGGGGGGGGGGGGGGGACACGGGGTGAGGAATGTCAGTGGGGAAGTCGGGGGGGGACAGGTGAAAAAAAAATGTCATGGGGGACTCGGGGGGGGGGGCCCAGGTGAGTATTTGCCCAAGTGGGGAGCTGGGGGGGGGGGGAAAAAGGTGAGGATTTGGCAGGGGGGGGAGTTCGGGGGGAGGGACAGGTGAGGATTTTGGTCAGTGGGGGGGGGGGGGGGGGGGATTAGGTGGGGTAGTGTCAGTGGGGAGCTGGGGGGGGGGGGGGACAGGTGGGGAGTGTCGGGGGAGGGGGGGGGGAAGTTTGTAGGGGGGGGGTTTTTGGGGGGGTTGGGGGGGAACAGGTGAGGAGTGTCAGTGGGGGGGGGCTGGGGGGGGGGGGACAGGTGGGGGGTGTAAAGTGGGGAGCCCCGGGGGGGGGGGACAGGTGATTTGGGTTTAAAGTGCAGTCAATATGAATTTAAGGACTGTCGTAGTCCTTCTTCTTTGGGGGGGATGGTCTGGAATCCCCCCGGGGGAAGGGGTTTCCGGGGTTTCCAAAACATATTAGGCCTGCTGCGGTTTTTTGGCGCCCACATGATCAAGAAAGGGGGGGGGGGGGGGGGGGCGGGAAAGGGGTTTCCCCGGGCTGCCAACGAGATGCCACATCCTCCTAAATATGCGGGTTTGGGCCGGGAGAGGCTGGGGATAGGGGCGGGTTTTGTCCCCTTTTAAAAAACTGTGAATGTGCCATGTTTTTTTCCTCCTTTCTGCCCCACCGGGTGTCCCCCGGACCCTTTCGGGCCCGGGCCCTTTTTTTTGCCCCCAAATCCCCCAGCTCTCGGGGCCCCCCAATCCTCGGCTCTTGTGTCCCCCCCCCCCGTCCCTTCTTCTCCTTAAATAAAACCTTTGCAATCCTCCACTAATCCCGCCCGGAGCACAGTTTTCCCCCCAGCCCTCCCCCCCGTCCAAAACGGGGGGAGCCCTTCATGGAAACCCCACCGGGAACTTCGGAGGACTTCGGCAAGTTCCCCCCGGGCCCCCTGGGGGAATCCGTTGGGCTTTTTCAGGAAAATTTTGGGGGGGGCCCCGCGGGCCCCCTTTTCGTACATTGCTTGTGGGGGGGGGGGGGGTTTTCCCGTTTGAAGGGTGTTTAATATTTTTGTTTTGTCACAATTGTGGGGGAAAGGGGTTTTTTTCGCACTGGCCCTTTTTGGGGGCGAGTTTTGGGGGGGGCGGGGCTTTTTTGAGACTTTTTTTCCCGGGCCCAACCCCTTTTAATCTGAACTTTGGCTTGTTTTTTTTGGGGGATTTGCAGGGGGATTTAACCGGGTTTGTGTGAAAACCCTTTGATGGAACCCAGAAAAACTTTCCCTGAGCCCCAGGGCTCCCGGGAAAATCCAGATGAGGGAATAAAGGAAAACCCTCCACGGGGCCTCCCTCACACTGGGGTTTGGCTTTGGCCCCCCTTGACAGGTTTCCCCTTTTAATAGCGGGGAAAGGTTTTTTTTTTTTTAAA